AATTTAAGAAGCAATGAATCGTTGATTAAGTGGAATTTAAGAAGTAATTAATGGTCAAAATGTAAAGATCTAATGGCCATTAATCATCAAAGTCGCGTAAAAAAAACAACTTTTTTTGCCTTTTATAAGGTATGAACTGCTCTGCGTCTGATTCATAATAAGTTTGTACGATGTGGAAACAAGTGGAGATTTGAACATAAATGATAAATCAGCGTCAGTGCCTGAAACCAGCCTACCAGCACCTCATTTACATATCATTTACATGAAGCACACAATAATTCATGCAGATGTTTCAGTAGCCAGCCAATAAAACGGCAGTGTTCGGCATGAGCCGTGCTCATGGGTGGAGTTTGATATCCAGCAGTGAGTGCACTCCTCCCCTGCTGACCAAACTTAATAGTATTAAAATGAAAACAACTGGAAAAAATAAAATGTGAAATAAAACAAAATACTCAGTGTTGTTAACATAGTAGAGTGATTGTTTAGTGTAATTAATTCCCTAAAATAAACGCTGTATTATTGCAGTGTATGACCGAAGCTGTGTTTGTGAGTCAGTAGTATGAAACAAAAGCACAGTGTAATGTGTCTTTAAATGGAACATGAAATAGTTGCAGCACTTGTTTATATCAATGTGCATGTAAAGTAAGTACATCCACTTTTGTACTGGACTGTCATGCACACAAATTAGTGTTATTGATATTTTCTACTGTTGTTCTTATTTTTGCAATTACAGATTATGTTGATAATAGTTTTGGTTAATTAGCCACATATCCAGCATTTATGCCCAAATTTACATGCACTCCTACCAGATATGAGTTAGTTTGTACAGATATGCCAAGATGAAAGTGATGAATAACAAAACTGTCCGTGAATTTGTGTGCGATCATCTTACGGTCAGATGTGACCATAAGCATCTTTAATGAACAAGAACCAATGTGAGAAAAGTGAAGCAACTGAATATATGGAGGTGATGGAAAGTTAATTAACAGATAATTAGCGGGATTAACACATAAGTGCTAGTAAGTTATCACGTTACTTCTTTATATGAAGAAAAATACTTACTAGTTAATTAACAATGTAATAAGCAGCAGTTAGTACACAGATAATGAGTAAGTAAGCCATAAACTAACGACAAACTAACTTATGACCTAACAGTGTACTTAATTACTAATTGATAAGTGCTTAATCAATTACTAAGTAATAGCTAATGCTTAATGAAGAGTTAACTAATAACTAAATAATGGGAAATTAATAGTTGATTATTATATAATTAATGATTGATTAGGGACCCTTAATGTAAAGTGTTACCGTCTTCTTTATTTAAAGAAACATTTAAATTAAAAACAAGTAACACAAAAGTAACAAAGTAATCAGATTACATATATGTTACAATTACATTTTTAACAGGTAATCAGAGTATATTTACAGAACAGAATACATAGAAGTAACAGAATACATTTTTTAAAGTAACCCTTTCTACCCTGCTCTTCATTGAGAGCAAGAGGTGTAAACAGAATCCCCAAAGGGGCATGGGGGCATGTAATTGTGCCAGGACAGTGGGTCATGATCAAAAATCACACAGATGCTCCATTAGAGGCTAAATGGTTAGTTACTGATATAGCAGTATTATGTCAAGGGGAAAAGTTTGTACATGCTTCAGATTGCAAAGTGGTGTTTTCACCTGAAATTAGGGAACAATGTGGATCATTGTCAAAAAAAACTATTGGTAAAACTATGATGCTGGTTTCTTGAAAGGCCCATTTGACCAGATGCAACCTAATCAAGAAACGCTGCTGGAGTGATGGATATCTGAGTGTCCTACCTTGAAGCATCCATCCTTGTTGTCATCAAGATTTGAAGAACTAACACTTTATATAAGAAGGAGTTAAGATGATAAAGTGGACTTTTCATTTATCCTATGTGATCTATGTTGTGCTGGACTCCCCACGGTTAACAGAAACATCACGCTACAGACATGTTCAATCTCAAATGGTAGTTTTGGTTTCCGGAACGAAAGTGTTTGGATTCCTCATCCAATTAGTGTATCTACTCATATAGCATGGATAAGAGATGTAACATGGTGGTAATATGTAAAGGGTAATACATGCTCTGTGATGCAAATGATTCTACCTTGAATGTCAGCACATGCGCTTTATACATGAGGCTTTATAGTAGTACAACATTTTATGGGCAATAGTTATTTACATAAAAATGGTACATCTTCATAGCAGAAACAATAAGAGACCATATCTATAATAGTGATCCATGGTAATCTGCCTAAAAATGAATTGCAGAAACATGGAAGCACTGCCTCTGGTGGACTTTCAGCTAATTTCAATGATCGATGTTGAATGATTTATGTATTATCAATAATGAGATCCTAACATGGCACATGCTCTCAGTAAGCTGAAAATGCCAACAAAAATCATGTTATCTGGTATGTTAGTAGTTGTCTTGCATGTCCTGAGTACTTGTGGACATGTAAATTGTAATAATCAAGAATATGCTTGGCATATTGTAACACAATGATGATGATGGATGGAAGTGTAATATTTTCCATTTCTTCTTTTTCTTTCTTTAGTCCTAGCTAATGTCTATCTAGCCTTGCGACGGACTGGCGACCTGTCCAGGGTGTATCCTGCCTTCCGCCCAATGACAGCTGGGATAGGCTCCAGCACACCACCGCGACCCAGAAGGATAAGCGGTTTAGATGATGATGATGGTGTGTGTGTGTGTGTGTGTATTGTCTATCTATTCTAGTTAATCTTCTCTGATGTTAAATTCCCAAAGTGCCCAATGATGGATCACATGGTTTATAGGAGAATTGACAGCATGCTGTCTTCAAATAAAGAACATCTCTTCCGCAAACCCTGGTCTCCTGACTTTGTTCCATGGCAAAAAAAAAAGACAAATATTTATGACACAATAGATCTAGTTATTTGTGAGATGTTTCACCAGGTGCATTTTTAAAACTGCATAATTTTACCAGTCTTTCGATTCTGTTTGCCAACTTTTTTTAAATGTCTTGCTGGCATCAAATTCGAAATGGTCATATTTTTTCAAAATACAATAAAATTTCTTATTTTCAACATTTGACATATTGTCTTTGTACTATTATCAGTTAAATATATGGTTTAGATGATTTGCAAATCATTGCATTCTGCTTTTATGTACATTCTGCACAGCATCCCAACTTTTTGGAACTAGGGCTGTATTATGGACAAGGTTGTTAATCCTGTCAACTTTCCTGTTACTTTAACGTAATATAAAATATTAATAAAGTATTGATTTTTTGCATTTCTAAGCATAAAAATATGTTTGTGATCACATGACATCATCATGCAATCTAAAAGCTTTCAACACAAGTGAACTAATGGCTTAAGCTCCTACTTTACCCTCTCTTACCATCAGCATGTCATCAATGTATAGGTAAAAGGATTGATGAGCTGAAACAGGACTGATATGTTTTAGTTAAGTGAAGTTACGTTAAACATTCACGAATGTTTTGTTTTACATAAAACATATACACCAATCAGGCAAAACATTTTGACCACGCTCATTGTCCATTTTATCAGCTCCACTTACTATATAGGTGCACTTTATAGTTCTACAATTACAGACTGTAGTCCATCTGCACTCAAAAAAAATGACTCTTTGAATTTGCTTTTTTTTTTCGTCAAAGTGTTGCACAAAATTAAATTATCTACATTCAGATATTTGAGTAACATTTACTCATTACCTATAAGCAATGTCAACTTAACTATATTTTGCAGGATTTACTTCAATAACATCAGTAACTTTAACTAACATGAATCATGTTCTTTCTACTTAAGCAAATTATGTAGATTGTAGATAACTTTTTTGGTTAAAACAACTCAAATTTGATGCCTTTCTGATGACATTTACTCATTACTTGTAAGTTTTGTCAGCTTAATTATATTTTGTAAAAATTCCTTGGTGTAATTTTAACTAAATTTAATCATGTTCATGCTATTTCATTAAATTATGTAGATTGTTATGTAACTTTTTATTAAAATTACTAAATTCTGATGTATTTCCAAATAGTTACTCATTGTTTATTATGTACAACAGCTTAATTATCACAGAGCATTTATTAATGTACAATTTTAAATGTTAATTTTCACAAATTAAACTTCAACTACACTTAATGTTCCATCTATTTAAACAAGACAATGACCATCATGACAATAAAAAAGAATTACAGTGACTTTATTAAGGTACATCAAATGCACATGCATATTAGGATCAACTAAAATACACTTTTGCTTTACCACTATAGAAAAACACTGAATATTAAGTAATAAAACAAGACTGTAGACAAAATAAAGCAGAGCAGTAAAAAAATAGACTAAATACTTCTCTAAAAGTGCACAGCTATCAATACATTATTGCTTGTCTTGCAGGCAACACAAGCTAAAATGCAAGTTTACATACAACAATAAGCTTCAAACAGAACACTGCAATTATAAACACATTCACCTAAATGTGTGAGCCTTTAATCACAGTTAATTAAGTCTTAAGTAATGGCCCAGAATTCGTGAAACAATGAAGTAACATTCAGTAATTACGTAATGATAACACTAACCTTACGTGCAACTTTACAACAGCAGATATTTAAAATAGAACAGCACAATAACAGTATTAATATTATACAACTTTATACAATATCCAATTGTCATCAATCATCAAAATAATGCCCCAGAAATAGTGCCTACAGAGTACAGCCTTCTTGTCAAAGCACTGCCTCAAGTTAGCACAACCTTATTTTGCTTGTTAGACTTTGCAAATTTAGGGTGAAAATTTATAGAGCTCAAACTGTTCAAAAGGCTACATTGTCCAGCTTTAGCAAAAAAAGACTAAAATTTAACTGCGTGCTGTTTTAAGACAAATTGTTCTTAAACATGAAGATCTTGACGTTGTATAGAAAATCACTGAAAAGTCATTGAATTTTAAAAGAGATGTTGACAAATACAGCCATTCTTGTTTCATGTGACTTAAGATTTGTTCAAAAGCCCATTGCTTTTCAATCAAAGTAGAAGCTGGTGTGAAAAGTTTCATATATTTCCAGAATAGACAGCCTACTTTGACTATCCCAAGATTTTGTTCTCCAAACCAAGAATATTAGGGGAGAATTTTGCACCATGCTTTGGCATGAGGAATGTACAAATTCATAGCAGTATTTCCACCCATTGTGATGAGCCATATTCAGTGCATAGATTACTCCAAGCATTACTGCAGTCTGGTGCAACTGATTTGATGTTTCCTACAATAATGTTTCCATCAGCGTCATCGTCTTCATATTCTCCAAGAGCTCCACCCTCTTCTGATGACATAAATGTCCATTTCAGTGCTGTGCTGGTCTCTCAATATGTCTTCACCATGAATGTCCTACAAATTAAATCTTGTTATTAATACTAAACTCCATTGTACTCTTGCTCCATAAAGAGTAAGTTCAGTTTATTTCTCATTTGAGCTCTTCTAAATACTTCCAGGCACCTCTGACAGTTTTTTTTTAATATCAAATACTTATGATGAATCTAAATAAAATCAGCCCCCATCTCCACAAAACTCCATTCAATGGTAAAATATACATTACAAAATGGATACTTCTAGTTCATCCTTCTCACACTAGCACCTACAATCTATGGTTGGTGCTAACATACTTACATATTGATTGCACTTGTTAGAATATACCTTCAACTGTTTAAAAAAAAATAGTAATAAATAAAAAAATAAAAAATTCTAAAATAAAATAAAAATAGGGGTACATTAACTTGACAAGCATACAAGAAACAGATAAAAGAAACATATGAACATCAAAATCCCGATCATCTTAGAGACTGAAAAATGATTACTAATTTGAACAATAAAACAAATAAATAAAAAGTAGCTTTACAAAACAAATAGCCTCATAGTTAAATATCAAATCTGGATCATAAAAATGCACTTACCAGAGACTTAGAACATGCCACAGAATCCTTTAAAACATGGCACTCAACAACCTTGTTAAGCTTTAACCTATAAGCAAAGAGGACATTTAAATAAAATTAAATGAAAAACCATGTTAACATTTTATCTTAAACATAAGCTTTACTTTAATGTTTTATCTCCCCATGTGGAAGGCCATAACAGAGCATTATTTTGGTTGAAATTTAATAGTCTTACAATAATATATATTATTTTATCTTTTCCACTACTGGGCTGAACAGTTATCATTAGCTTGCTAATTAACAAGATAACGGATTCTATTACGCTGAACTAAAAATCTCCACTGACAATTCTGACAGAGCAAAGTGGAGCGATTGGTGTTGAAGGAACATTCATCCATCATCTAAACCGCTTATCCTTCTGTTGAAAGAACAGAAAGCTGAAATTAATCTTAAACCTGCTTCGTGGTGCTTGCAGTCTACTAGCGAAGTTAGCCAGCTAGCTGGTAACACTAACGTTTGCTTAGCTAACTAACCCTAGCCAGCTGCACTAACGGTATCAAAGTCCATGTTGGAACAACACATTACGAACTGGGTTCATTGAACAGAGCATTAAGTGTTAAATAGACAAAACGTTGAAATTAAACCAGGTAGCTGATGTCTGTAACTTACTAGCTAGCTGCTAACGCTGTGTTTGCTAAGCTAACGCTAGCTACAATAGAATTTGCTGGCTCCATATCCAAACCACAGGCTCGGTGGAGCTAGTTAACTATTAGCTAGCTAACTAAGGCTGAAATTACACGGGTCTGTGGACACCAGGCACCCAAATATCACATCCAAAATCACAGGAAGCGAGCACAGCCTCCTCCGCGGGAAAAGATTATTAGTTATAGGTCACGTCAAAGACACACAGCTAGCTAACGCTAGCTAGGTCTGTTTATTTCGAATATGCGCTGAATTGAGCCCCTCACAAACTTATGCTATGCTAGTCGTCCCTTAACTGTACGTTTTCATCAAAGTTAACTGTTAACCTATATCCAACGCTGCGTTGTGTTTGGCGTCTACAACCATCTAAACTCTATTTCACCATGTACCTGTACGACGACACAGCAGCTAAACGCACTCGTCTGCAGTGAACTTCAGAAAATGGCGCCGTCACTTAGCTAGCAGGCTAGCTAGGCTAGGTCCACAGTACCGTCAGCTAACGGTTGTGTTGATGAGCAAACTTAGTGAGGAGCTCAACAGATACTTATGAAGGACACACTATATTAAAACACTGACCTTTACAGTTAACACACTGCGATCTTTAGTGAGTTCAGTGATTATCTGACTGAGTATTGTTCTGTGTTCTTTGAATCTGCATCGGTTTGAACTGACCTGGCTATAGCTAGCTAGGTTAAGTTAGCTAACTAGCTAGCGGATTTTAAGCCATGCTAAGTCCTCCCTTAACATTACGTTTTTGCCAGTATTTCTCTGCGTAAATGTCATGAACATGTTAGATGTCCATAATGACAAACAACAGACAATATACAATCTCCTACCTTGTGAATGTAAGAGGACAGAATTTCCTCAGGTAAGCCAAACCTTCCCAGAGACGAGGTGTAGAAAATGGCTGCTGTCAGCTCGGGGAAAAGTTGTGCATGCGCATGCGCAGTTTCTACCCCTGGACACAACATACTTATTTCTAGTTCACTTTAAGCGAGTTTCACATGCTTAGTTTACCGGTTTTCAACATTGCTTATTATTATTTAGTTAAAGCAAAAACACATTTAAATTGAGAAAAACATGCACAATTTTATTATGTAAAATTTACTAAGGGCCAAGTTCATTTTTTTCAGTGTGTTTCTCTGCATACTTTGTTAGCCCCCTTTTACCCTGTTCTTCAGTGCTCAGGACCCCCATGGACCCTCACAGAGCAGGTACTATTTGGGTGGTGGATCATTCTCAGCACTGCAGTAACACTGATGTGGTGGTGGTGTGTTAGTGTGTGTTGCGCTGGTCTGAGTGGATCAGACACAGCAGTGCTGCTCGAGATTTTAAACACCTCAGTGTCCCTGCTGGACTGAGAATAGTCCACCAACCAAAAATATCCAGCCAGCAGAGGATGACCAACACAAACTGTGCAACAGCAGATGAGCTATCATCTCCGACTTTACATCTACAAGGTGGACTGACAAGGTAGGAGTGTCTAATAGAGTGAACAGTGAGTGGACAAAGTGTTTAAAAACTCCGGCAGCACTGCTGTGTCTGATCCACTCGTACCAGCACAACACACTCTAACACACCAACACCACGTCAGTGTTACTGCAGTGCTGAGAATTTACATGGTAGATAACCAATGTATAAACTTAGAATCCTACAGACGTACCATCAAACCAATATAAATTACCCAATATATATGCTAAATAACCAAATACATATATGAACACATGAATGTTCTGTGACTAATCCATATATCTCATTACCATTTCATAATTGTGCAAGCCATGTATAGATCAGTAAACCAAAATTATGAGTAGTAAATCATCATGTATGTCTACTGAACCAATATAGCTAAAAAAGAAACATATAGTATGTTTCAGTGAACAAAGTAGTTTCTCCATAAACTAGTATATATATATATATATATATATATATATATATATATGCAAAAGATATAGAAGCATTACCAATTACCACCAATAACTGGTGAACCACAAAAGCAATCATAGGTTCAACAAGGTACTATTTCATGTTAAGGCGAACGCCATTGCTTCTCTGAAGCAGCTAATTGTGCCATATTTTCAGAGACGGCTGAAATAAAAAATATTGTAAACTGATATATCTTCTGTTACCTTTTCTCTCAAGTCTCCTCAGTCATGTTATTTTTGTCACTACTGTTGTGTACCTGTCAACCCTGTTAATTTGTCTATTTCGTAAAAATAAGAAATAATAAAGAGGTATATTTTAACATGACTTTTTGATAATATTCCCAGTTAAAATCTTTATTTTAAGAAAAATCTGAGGCCTATGGCATGCAAAACAGTATCATATGTAGATCGTATCTTTGCAGCATTTTAGAAACATATGTAGGTAGAGCAAATATCTGCAACAGTGTTGATGCATAACACCATCTATTTGAGTTAGAAATGTATACTATTTCAAGAATATTTGTGCTTGAGATGGGAAAACATTTGATTGTAGAAAGATTCTACAGGACAATACCACTGAGAGTAAAGCAACAATGCTGTATAAACATCACAAATAAGTTACAGTGCAAATAAAAGTATTAATACTGTTGAATCAAACCCTCATTGAAACCAGAGGCCAGCCTTGTGTCTGGAGAACAGACTTTATTTGCTTGCACAGTCAACAAGATGACACACTGAACAGACTGAACAGACAGCGAGAACTGTTCTCAGAATGTCCTAAGGTACTGCACAAAGGTCACATACACATTCCAACACATAACGCATAATACCGAATATATTACTACATAAAGCATAAAGCGCATAATTTTTGTATTTCTATGAAAGCTGTTTTACAGCTAATACAATTTCTTTACCTCTTTACCAGACGGTCCTGTTCATCCCCTCCACTGTTCATCCCAATGGTACTCAATTGATTAAGACACATGCGTAATTACATGAGTAAAACTGTTAATAAATACCTGTATTTAGAGAAGCTGTAATCTGTTACAGTGAATACATCACCAATCGTTACATTGTTGTATCGTTAATGGTAACTACACAGTTATTAGAGACACTTAAATATAGTGGGACCCTTCTTCCATTAAAATTATTCAGCAGTAAATACCAGATGAATTTATGTATGTTTTTTTATTCATTAAGTTGCTCAACACACATTTGATTCTTACTATTCAACGTTTGCTGTTTTTACCACAAGTATTTATTAATTATTAATAAATTAAAGTTACTGTATTAGTTCCTTCTGTAAATTGCATTATTAGTTACAAACAGTTACTATATTTGTTTATAATTAGTTTGTGCATAATTACTAGATGAAATAAGTTGAACAAATCCTACATAATTTGTTAAAGGGTAATATATACACAGACATACATGATAAATAATCTGAGATAATCTAAGATAGTAACCATTGAGAACATGTAGAACATTAATAGTTTGCAGTACAGTGGTGTTTATACATAACTTAATTATAAGTATGGTTATAGGTCTTATCTTATGATCACTTACAGCTGCAGAGGAGTGTGCACCAGTCAAATGAGATTAGACGAGAAAACTGCAGCTTCATGAAATAATGAGAGAGAGGTGAGAGTACCTAGCTACTTTTCCACCATTGTGATGAATTCAAATGTGTTGTTAACAGAGGTGTAAGTAACAAGTTACATTTACTCTCGTTACTGTACCTGGGTACAGTTTTCCCTGTAAGGGTACTTTTTACTCTTACTTAAGTAAATTTTTAATGAATTACTTTTACTTTGCTATTTTAATTTTTGTATAATCATATAATCATGAAATGCATGTAGTTTAATGCAATGTGTAAATGTGCACTAGCAGAGTGTACTGTGATCAGTCTCAGAGCTCAAAATGTTTTCTAATATATTATGTTTTGCTTTAGTTTTGTTTGTACAGATTATTTCCAATGATGTAGCTGACTCAAATAGTTTTCCAAAGAACTACTTCTTCTTTCTTATTACTTGAGTATTTTCTTTACTAATATTTTTAAATATGAATTAAATTATTACTACAGTAACAGTGCTTTACACCTCTGGATGTTAATAAGATTGTAACTATATGATGATGTTAGGTATAGTATTCAATTAGACATGGTACAATATTAAATATTAGCTGAAGTTGGAATAATTAAAGTAGCTGTTAAGTTAACAAACAAGGTGGTTTGAGGTTTTTAGTTATATACAATATATTATATAATATATTTTAGTTATAACATATATATATATATATATATATATAACCTTATTTTCTTATTTTTCATCAGTTCTTTTCATAGAAAATGTTTAATGCAAAATGAACAGGGGGGACATCAAGGCAAACTAGACATTATCGTCTAGTTTCTTCTAGAAATGGCATGTCACTAAATGAGAATGACTTCTGCACGTGCAATCAAATATATTGTTCTTCATCGTCTTCTGTCAATCCACTTTCAACAGCTGCTTGAATGCTCTTCATCTCTTCTGGAGGAGCAGAGGGAAGAATGGCCAGCAACTCTTTATCAATCTTCTCTAGTCTTGAATCAATATTCTTTTCAAATTCATCTTTATTCATGCGAACAAGCTGGAAAATGCCTTTCTGAGCTTCATCACAGCCGTTCTGTAACTGCAGACGCTCCTTTTCAAACTCTGGTTTTTCCTTGTCCATGGCCATAAGCTTCCCCAGTGAGCTGACACGATCCATGAGATACTTGTCAGACACTTCAGTGTAGGTTTCTGAGATCATGTGGACGAGGCTGGCGATGTTAGTTGCTTGAAAAGCTTGATTGTACAGCAGGTCTTTGGAGAAGAGCTTTGAGTTGTAGGAAAGTGACTCAGTCTTCTCAGATGTGGAGACAAAATCTTTGAGAGTTGTGGTCAGGCTGACTTTCACAATGTTGGACACCATCTGAAAGAAACGCACCATCTTCTCCCACTGCTCCTTCACTCTCCCCATGGCATCCATCCCTTTGACCAGCATTTGTATGGTGGTGTTAAAGTCTATCTCTTTGACTTCACAGTTCCTCATGGTGATCAGGATTTCAGTCAGTTCCTTTTGGTTTCTCTCCATGTTCTCCACACTCTTCTCATAGATCTCTCTGGTATTGTTCAGTTGAGCTCGGCTCTGCTCTATGCGGAACCTGGCATTCTCTGATGCCTTTTCTGAAGCACCTTTCCTCTCTGATTTACTTTCTTCTTTAAACAGCATAGGTGGTTTTGGAATCAGGGAAGGAGTTTTTGTGACATTTTTGCTTTTGCAGTCAAAACTGCGGGCTGAATCTGTCAGTGTTCTGATTTTCCCGATCAAGTCCTTTGTTTTTTCTTCTTCACATTTCCCATCTGATGCATATTTTGCCAGTTCTTCACAGATGTTAATTCCCTCTTCACATAATGTTTGGGCTTGTTTATTGGCATTGCATTCTGGGATTTTTTCTAAACTGCTATTGATTCTTTGAAACTGCTTTTTTGCAAAGTCGGTTTCTGTAGATTTGTTCTTCTGATCATACAGATTCTTCCAGTCAATGTCATTATTCTGCACATATTTTTGGATAAACTCTGTGCACATCAAGATTTCTGCTGATTTGCTGTAGATATTTATTTTATCAACTGTATCTGCAGAAGAGCCTTTTATATCTTTCACAGTGTCTGCAATTGTTTTTGAAGCTTTACATATTTGAACCACTGGCTGAGTCACAGCAGCTGTCACTCCAGTGACTAGAACTGTGACACTCTCAGTCAAAGCTGCAACACAATCCATTCCCACTATGCTCCATCCACTGGGAAGGGAATCCATTGCTTTCTTATAGGCATCACATGCTTCTTTCAGTTCCTCTTCCATGATTTTAACTACCTTTTCAGAATGTTTAACAGCTTCTTCTGTTGACTGTTTCCTCATTTTGTTCTCCTCCAATTTCTTTTTCATTGCTTCCTTCTCTTCTCCATGAAAGTGCTCAGCATTTATACATGCTTCCAGCAACTCTTGTATGATATTAATGACCTTTATGAATCTCTCTTCTGTCGATCTGGCCAGGTTTAGACAGTCATCTGCAATGACACGAATGTTCTCCAGTTGGCCAGGAAGATGTGCTTTAACAACTTCATCATTACCTTGGAAAAGAATCTTCACTGCAGTCTTCATGTAGTCTGGAACAGCAATGGTGTGCAGCCGAATCTGATCCATGTTCTTGTGGGCCTCATTGAAAGCCCACCAGCCAGAGTTACACACTTGCATGAGACAGGCACGAAATGAATCTGGGTATTTGATGTACTTGTAGTCGTCTTTAGGAGGGTTTTTGTTAATAGAGAAATCTGTTTTGGAGGAGATGAAGACCAGCTCTCCCAGGATGGCTATGGAGAGCGGTGCAGGAGTCAGGTATTCCTCCCAGTTGGCATAAGGCTGCATCACAAGTTTGGTTTGGTTTCTCATCTCCTCAGCTTTGGTGAGGCTTTTAGTTGTCATTGCAATTTGATTTGAAGTCACGATTTGTCAGTAAAATTTACATTAACCAATTTGTATTACAAAAGCTCATTATTACACTAAAGTATTCAATAAAGCTCATGTGCTAAATTTGTTATATTTGTTAAATAAAGTTATTGCTTATGCTGCCCTTGTTGGTTATATAAAACTGTCAAATCACATCTCATTTACTCTACACATTGACATTTTTGGATCTCAAATGTAGAAACCCACTCTGAAGCTGATAACATTGTCAATGTTCATCAGGAAAATTCCAGAATCTTGTAATTAAAGCCAATCTCAAAAACGCAGCTCTGAGAACCAACAGAATGTAACTTGCAAAAGTCTCATCCTAAGATGGGACTGTTCTTTTAAAAAAAAACATTTTCAGAGGGTCGCTTTACTGATTGAATCACCGCTAATCGCCATTTCTGTAGCATTCTGTTCAGCACATTTTCATAATGAATTCATTCATCATGAAGAAAGAACGTCAAATATTCTGCTAATAACCGAGATCAACCCACGTTTACCATCCCTAAGCTATGAGTACCTACAAAGATTCAAATTAAGCCATCACTTAAGGGTGTTTGTGTTAAAAGTTAAAAGCACTTATTAACACCTATTTACAACTCATTATATTTCCACAATGCTAGAGGAGTATAAGGTTTAAGTAATATTTCACTGTCCCTTCAAAAAAACACTTTGATACCAATCATTACATAAAGCTTTATGTGCAACATATGCATTAGATTTACATTACCCTAACAGTGAAACCCAGAGAATTATCAGCCAAGTTTTCTTGAACAAAAAGCACAATAAAAGGTAAGAACAAGATGAATTGTCAATTTCCTGTGGATTTGTCCTGTCCATTTTCAATTTAAAGCCACAGATAAAAGAAACTAACTCACTCAAAGTGAGTTTTTTTGGATGCAAATGTTGATTTCTTTACAATTACACTATTCTTTACAGTTACACTATTCTTTGGTCTGCACATCATACATTGACTTTTGTTTATCAAATGAGCCATAATGATACATAATGAATGCAATAAATACATACAATTAATTACATAGCATTTAGAGTTTAGTTTAATATGCCATCAATATAAGTTTTCAAGGTGTTTCAAAATAACTAGAATCAAAACCATGCATTAAATAAAACAATATTTGTTTTGATTAGATGTCTTACCTTTTTATTAAGACTATTTTCAGACAAGGTATAGATGTGGATCTCTCAGCTTCCTCCAAACAATAAACGAAGCGCTGCAGTGCATTTATAAAGCAGGATGACGCAGGCAACCTCCCTCTTCTCCCGCCCGTCTCTATCCAAAGCTGTGCTGTAGCTGCGCTAAGCATGCGTGCCCACACACACACATGCTCGCACTTGAGCCAGTTACAGTGTGACTGGTGTTGTGGCTCCAGTAAGTACCGCAGACAAGGATTTCTTATCATTCACCACCAAACCATTACAGTCATTAACAGCAGTCCTTATTTTTGCTGCACTGAATCACAGATCACTCTTTATGTTGTTACTGTGAGCTATCTGATGTTTTTTATCTAGCCAGCTAATGTTGCAGGTTGTTCACTGTTGGAATTCAAGTGAGAGAAGCAAGATGTTGTGCCATTGGGTTGTGGGTTCTGGTCTCATTGCACCCCTAAGCTCTGATCTTAAAATCACCCCTGGCTTAGACTCACTTAAGGTAATATATATATATATATATATATATATATATATATATATATATATATATATATATATATATATAAATTAGGGGTGGGAATCTCTAGGCACCTCACGATTCGATTCGATTACGATTCAGAGGGCTGCGATGCGATTATAAAACGATTATCGATGCATCTTGAGGCATCTTTTTTTTCTATACATGATTTCTATTTTCTCACTGTGTGAGGACTTGGTAGTTTTAAAGCAAAGTATTTGTAATGATCTATAATGCATTTACGTCCAATATCTTTTATTAATAAAACAAATGGAAGTGATGTGGCAAGTGAACCGGAAGGCTCTCATTCACTGCCTTTGGAGCACATGAGACGCTGCTGCCACTCATCTGCGATAACATGCGCTGTTACGGTGAAATAATATCCAGTGGTAACGGATGACCACGCAGCACATTATAGCCGTCCTACCCGTTTTCATTAGTGATTTTAGAACTTCGGTTTTGGTCTCATTCTAGAGAGTAAGGGGAGGGGGGATAACGTGTCAGTAAAATATCTTCGAGACAGGGCATGCGCAACATAGCGCGGAAGCCCTGTTTCGCAACGACTGAGAATTGACCCTTTTCACAAGAGTTGTGATTACTTCCGGTTTAAGCGTTAGCAGGCTAAAACTTATTTCTGCTCCATATAACCAATGCAGAAGCGATGACAAAATGTTTTAGTAGAGAACTATAATGCTCAAACACTGAGCTACAACAGCTATATGTTAGTTTTCCTGCACTGTCGTGACAAACAGCGAGAATACGAAGTGGATGGAAGCACTGATTTAACTTTAAACAGAGCTAAGATGCTGTATGTGTGGGATAACGTTAGCCTTGTTTTTACTGCAGTCTGCTGCAGCTGCTCACATCAAGCAGTCTCTGTGTCTTTCTACAACATGCCAGCGATTTCTGTAATATTTCTGAGCAAGAAGAACTTTTATATGTAGCATGAATTTGATAGAATCCATTTATATTAAGCTAGCTAGCTATGCTGGCTAGAAGCTATTGCTAACTAGATTATTTGGCTAACATAAAGCAGCTTTTCTGCATCACCAGCTAACTTTGTACTCATCTTTAAAAAGCTAATGAAGGTAATAAACTGTCAATGAATAATTCTTACATGATCAGCTTGGTACAAACAGCTAACATTGGCTGGCAGATTATGTCAGAGACCTCACATGGCTCTTCACAGATCACAAACAACGAGCTAAGCTAGCTATGCCAGAAAATGGAAATCTAAACGCTGCAGCTTAACCGCGATACTAAGATACAAGTTAGCTAGGAGTCACGTTTTTGATTGAGCAGTGAAAGGTGGATGTTATCCAAAGTAATGCTTCAAAAATCACCATGAAACTAAAAGAATAATGCTGTTTGGCAGATCGCTAACACAGCTAGCCAGCTAGCTTTAAAGTGTGCTACTCATACGAAGCTGGTGTTCCTCAAACTGCTAATGGTAGGCTAGCTAATTAGCGACTGTAGCCTGCTAGCCTACCATAAGCTAAAAGAGAGTTTAAACGAGGTCTGTAAAACAGACTTTACATATAAACATTCTGGTTTGCGTTTATGTCAGAAGTTGCTGGCATGCTGTAAATGTGTCACATAACCTGCTAAGTGTTAGCCAGCTGGTGCCAGCGGCTAATGAAAACTAGCTTCCTTGTTTGGGAATACAGCTACAGTTAGCAATAGCTTCTAGCGTAGCTAGCAAACTACAGCTAAACAGTGTCCAACCAAATTCATGCTACATATAAAAGTTCTTCTTTCTTTAGAAAACACAAATATTACAGAAATCACTGGCATGCTGTACAAAGACAGAGAGACTGCTTGATGTGAGTAGCTGCAGCAGCAGGAAACAGGGCTACACCACACATACAGATACACATTTTAGCTCTGTTTAAAGTTAAATCAGTGCTTCCATTCACTTCCTATTCTCACTATTTGTGATGCTAGTGCACGAAAACTAACATATGTCTGTTGTAGATCAGTATTTGAGCATTATAGTTCACTACTATAACATTTTGTCATCGCTTCTGCAGTAGTTGTATGGAGCGGAAATGAGTTTTACCCTGCTAATGCTTAAACTGGAAGTGACTCTTTGTGAAAAGGGCCCATTGGCATGCAGACTGCAGGTTTTGCCTGGCTAGTAGCGAACGAAAAATGAAAAGAGAAAGACAGATGAACATTTGGAGATGAATGGACTTATTTGCATTTATAAGCAGTGCAGTTGGTTTCCTGGTACGTTAAATCTGCAACAAGAGACTGTCAAACACTAAAAAGTTGCGACGATGAAGTTGCTTCTCTTTCTAATTTTCCCGTTCCACCTTAAATGGTGCCGCATTTACATTCGGTGCCTCAGTCAGAATTTGAGGTGGAACAGGAAAGTTCAGCAAGAAGCTGGAGAATGAGAAGCGACTTTAGCCTCGTAAATCAGCCGAACGCTGAGAGACATTTTACAAGAAACTATTCAACTTTAGAGGAAAAGTTTTCTGGCGGAGATGAGAGGAAAGCGGCTGTAGCCAAGCCTTAATGCATAGAAAAGTAAATCTGCGCGTTTGCTTATATTGTTTAGTCTATACAACGACATTATCACATACTGACATTTAATCATAATATTTTACATGCTTTTTCATTTGAGTCTATAAAGCAGTGTCAGCTGGATGGAAATGAATGTGTTAATTGAAATACAAGATCCAGATCCTTACATTTTCTCTCAGTTTCGTTTTCCCAGAAAAGTGATGAAGAGAGGAAGCCAATTTCCACCCTCATTGTTTGGCACCACAGTCAGCTTAAATGATGAGTTATGGTATGGAAGTCATCCAGTTGCTACAGTCAGATACTGACTGATTATTTTGCTCTTTCTGGACTTACTTTATTGCTCTCCTTACCTCTTATCTAATGAGAATTGCAATTAACTCTGTGGAAATCTGCCCATTCAGTCAGCTATAGAGTTTGTGCAGTGCAGAAAATGGTACAGCATATGGTAATTCAAGCATATGACAGGGTTAGATTTTTTGGCTATTCAAACATATAAGAATAAGCTTGATATTTAACTTTAATTTAATTTAACTTTCTTTAAATATGCCGGTAGTATGGAGCCCCTAAGGGGCCATCTTTAAAAGTTAATGACATTGCATTCCCTCACAAATGTTTTGCGTTCCCTCGCAAAAAACTCGTTCCCTCACAAATGTTTTGTGTTTCCTTGCCAAATAATTACCTGTCATTCTCACCACTAGGTTGAGAAAAGTCCACCACTCAAAAACATCCAGCCAAGAGCAGCATTGTGGTCAGAAAGTGAGGGCAA